GGAAGTCTTTTTGGGAGAGACTATGTTAATTTTCTTGTGAGTTTTTTAATTGTTGAAAGACTTGAAGCTTTGTGACTTTGAGTGTTTGGAAGCAAGATCGACGAAGAGGGTCTGTGTACAGAGAATGCACTTTTTTGGAGAGGTTCTTAAAGGAAACTGGAGTCTTGGCTGTTTTCTGCCATAAAGACTGAAATATGTGAAGTCAGTAAATTCAAATTTTTAGATCTCAGAACAAATAGATAAGATACAAAAGATAAATCCTATATGAAATGTAGCACAATATGCGGCATAGAGTTATGCCACAATACAGAGATTTTCAGTTTGCTTTTTCCAGTCCTTTTAGAAGTAATCTTTTGACATCTGTCCTGTGGTATCCAGAGTTTTAAAGCTGGAGATCACTGCTAGCCAAGCTGTAATTAATGAGGGTTGATAATCTGTTCTCTAGCTGGATACTTTATAGTATCCATTTCTTTTTGAAACACTGAAGCACTAATCTGTTCTCTAGCTGGATACTTTATAGTAGTATAATATCTTCTTTTTGAAACACTGAAGCATATTTTCAGAACACAGGCTGTGCAATAAATCAGTTTTATATCCAGAATAGAAGACCTCCAAGTATTGCTAATCCTTGAAAACTCTCAGAGTTTAGTAAGTGAAGGTTCCTAGAAGACAGTGAATTTTTTTTTTTTGGTTGATGGTGTTTGATGTACAGATTTAAGTTTAAAATCACAACTATTACAGATTAAACAATGTAGTAAATAAAAAAACGTTAAAATTTAGTGTTTTGCAACATTATTTTAATGTTGTCTCAAATATTATTTTCTAGTTTATTTTGTAAAATAATGATGTTCACAGGACCCATCCAGAAATTTGGAATGGTAGTTAAATATCTTCTGTGAAAACTACTGTTATCTAATCTTTCAATTACGGTGGATTATCTGTTTATTCTGGGTTTCCAGAACAAATATGCTAAGAGTATCCTTCTTTATTTGGAAGAAAATTAACAGCCACACTTAGATTGGCAGCTGAAAAATCACTTCACTACGAGATTACACATATAAAGTAACTGCAGATTTGGGGACAACTATTTTTGATACCAACTATGCGCATGTGAAACCTGCCCATGCACATTCAGCACTTGACCACCATTTGTGACACTCACAGGAGAATTGACTGATAATATTCAGAAATTATCTAAATTTAAATGCACTTATTATTGACCCACTGTACTACTTAGGTCTGAAAGCTTAATGTAATGAGTTTGGTATTGGATTGGCATGAGCTTGAGCATAGAGTTAAGATAATTTCTAGTTGTTTTTCTGACTTCTGTCGTGTTTTTAGGGGTTTTTTCTTTCTTTTCTATTTATTGCTTCTTAGAGCTGTGGTATTTATTAATTAAAATTATTCCTTGTGTAATAGCAATTTAAGGCTTCTCTGCTCTTTGTGGCTTTTGAGAATTGATAAGTAGACAAAGTGAAGAGTTACCACCATGTTACATCATCTCTCATCTGGATTTTTAAAAGTAGCTCTGCAATTTACAACTTGAATTTTATCCAACTTGAATTGAGTTACTTGCTCAGAAATGTAATATTTCTGTTTTCAGATATTCTGGAAACTTTGCTTTTAATTTATTCTTCTTACAAGTAAGCATGCTTTTACTGTAATCATAGAATTATAGGGGTTGAAAGGGACCTCTAGAGATCATCTATCCATCTATCCCCCTGCCAGAGCAAAACCACCTAGGGCAGATCACTCAGAAAGGCATCCAGAAGGGTCTTGAAAGTCTCCAGAGAAGACAACTGCGCATCCTCCCTGGGCAGTCTGTTCCAGTGCTCCATTGCTCTCACAGTAAATAAGTTTCTCCTCATGTTGAGGTGGAACTTCCAGTGTTCCTTGTCCTCTAACTGAACACCACCAAAAAGGGTCTGGTCCCTTCCTCATGACACCCACCCTTCAAATATTTATAGACATTAATAAGAACTCCTCTCAACCTACTCTTCTCAAGAATAAACAGCCCCAGTTCTCTCAGCCTTTCTTCATAGAAGAGATGTTCCAGTCCCTTAATCATCATTGTAGCTCTCGGTTGGACTCCCTCTAGTAGATCCCCGTCTCTCTTGAATTGGTGAGCCCAAAACTAGATACAATACTGCAGGTGTGGTCCCACCAGGGTAGATGGGGAGGAGAACCTCCCTAGACCTGCTGGAACACTTTCATTAATGCAGCCGAGGATACTGTTGGCTCTCTTGTCCACAAGGGTGCATTGCTGTCCCATGGATAACTTACTGTCCACTAGGACTCCAAGGTTTTTCTCCACGGAGCTGCTTTCCAGCAGGATGACCCCTAACCTGTACTGGTGCCTGGTGTTTATACCTCCCCAGATACAGGTCCCTACACTTATCCTTATTGAACTTCAGGAGATTCACCTTCACCCAGTTCTCAGCCTGTCTAGATCTTGTTGGATGGCAGCATAGCCTCCTGGTGTGTCAGCCACCCCTTCCAGTTTCACATCATCAGTGAACTTGCTGAGGGTACACTCTATCCCCTCATTCAGGTTGTTGATGAAGATTTTGGACAAAACTAGATCCAGTACTGATCCCTGGGGAATGCCACTGGCCACAGGCCTCCAACTCAACCCTGTGCTACTGATCACAACCCTCTGAACTCTGTTGTTGAACCAGTTTTCTATCAACCTCACAGTCCAATCCTCTATCCCGTATTTCTTGATTTTTCCTACGGGGATGTTATGGAAGACAGTATCAAAACCCTTACTGAAATCAAGGCATATGACATCCACTGCTCTCCCTTCATCTACCTGTTTTGTCATGCCTTCGTAGTAGGATATCAGATTAGTCAAGCAAGAGTTCCCCTTAATAAATCCATGTTGGATACTCCTGATAGCCTTCTTTTCTTCCATGTGCTTAGCGATGGCCTCCAGAATGAGCTGCTCCATCACCTTTCCAGGGATGGAGGTGTGGGTGACTGGTCTGTAGTTACCTGGGTCTTCCTTCTTGCCTTTTTTAAAAACTGGAGTGACTCTGGCTTTCCCCCAGTCTTCAGACACCTCTCCCACTCCCCATAAATACTTGGTATAGGCCTGTCATCTTAGTCTGTTGTCCAAACAATGCTTCATTTTATAGCAGTTGTTTGTGTACAAGTACACCCATAGATGCAGTATCCTGGCTGCATATTTGATGTTGTCTTCCTTGCAATGAGAGCTGTGCTTCCTTACCACTACAGCTCATGGCAAAGCAAGGTAAGCCAGGCAGGCAGGTTGTCACCTATGTGATAGAATGATCTGATAGAATTTGAGCAGGAA